GTGAAAGATAAAATAATGTAATAATGCTTATGAATAAATCACATACCGCCAAAAGATAACCATAATTCATCACCTCTAGTAGCAATTGCTGGTATAATAGTATGATAGGGTCTTTTACATGGTTCAAGACAATTAGGATGTCCTTTTTCTAAAACAAATCCATTCCCACGAGCATGAAGTGTGAAGCCACAACCATTTGGAATTACCGCCTATATACAATAACCAATTTAATTATTAAATTTAGTTTAATAAGTATAAATAGGACTTACAGTTCCAAATCCATGGTAGTTCGAATTCTAATTATTTTATTACATTTTATAACAGTTAGCATTTCATTATTATAACAAAATGATAAATTATTAAATTTTCATACAATAAAGCTACACGCATTTCCTTCTTCATCAACCACGGTAAAGTAAACAGTGTCACTTGAGTTTACAGGTGACCCTTTATTAATATTAACATTCGCTTTTATAGGATCAAAAGGTTGTGCACGTTTCGAAAGATAGTCCTGTTTCAATTATTATATTATATTAAAAGTATTTATTAAAATCGCTATGTTAAATCGCTATGTTGAATCGTAAATATAAAATCTATTTTGTCTTTTACAGTTATACTTCTATAACCCTTTGTTTTTATAATCACAACCTCTATATAAAAAAATAAATTTTGTTTTTATTTTTTTATACTTTTATATGGGCTAGGTGCGAAAAAAAGAGACCAACTCAAAAACTTAATAAAAAATTTTTTGATCTTAACTAATTCAAAATTATTCAAAAATATTTATCATTTAAAGAATAAATACTGTTGTATTAATAATATTTTACACAGTATAGATTTTTAATTTTTGTATTTTCTTATGATTTAGGACAGAAAATATCTATGTCATTGGAATATCTATGGGCGACAATATAGATCTATAATATAGAAATCAATTTTCACAAACTTATTTTTATTAATTTGGCACCTCTTTACAGCGCATAGCCCATATAATGACAAGGCAAATATTGCTACATATAAAAGTCAAGTTGTACCAATTAAATGGACTTCATGTATTAAAATTGTTTGAAATACAAAATGCATATATCTTGAAATTTTATACAATTTAAATGAACTTTATTAATTTATTTTTTATAAAATAAACAGCAAATTAATAAAATTCGTTCAGGTTATATAAATTTTCAAAAATATATATTTTGTATACTGAATAAATTTATTTAATGCATAAAGTAAATTTCCTTAGTAAAATTTTGACTTTTATATGTAGTCATTTGCCACTATCAATACTTATGTATATATTCATTTTGTATTGGGTAATACCTATCTGAAGTAGCTACTTTAGATATCTAAAGACTGTCCAAAATTAATACCAGATCTAAATTATGGGAGCTTAATTTTGGTCAGCTGCTATTTCAGATATCTGTTACTTCAAATTGTGACTATTTGATCATATTCTTATAATTACTAGTTTTGTATGGATAATTATAGAAGATAATGATTATATCGAAATTCCATCTCATCTTATATTAAAATCACAACACTTACCTTTGATAAGAGTTGTTTCGACATATCATAAAAGTCAGGATCTGCCACATAATATGTAGAGTCCGCAAATGCCAATCGTAAACTTTCAATCACGACATGTAAATATTCTGCTGAATTATGCGTCATTTCGCTAAGATCTCTTATTTTACCACTTTCTTGAAGTGACTTTATTATACCAAGAGCGATAAGAGCCGTGATACCTTTAATTATTCAAGATAAATTGATAAAAATTAAACCATTTATATAGTTGCCGAGAATAATAAAATCGAACCAACCCTGTCCATTGGGCGGACATTCCCATATGGTTACATCTTTATAATTAATGCTAATAGGATCTACGCGGGTAGAAGTGTGAGAGGCCAAATCATCTAAAGACATAACTCCTCCTTTAGACTGTACAGTCTCAACAATGGCTTGAGCAATTCGACCTTATAATTTAGCATTATTATAAATTAATTCTGAAATAATTACTTATAGTAAATCAATGTTCAATATTTATTACCTTTATAGAATCCATCTTTTCCTTTTTCCGCCAATTCTCGAAACGTTCTAATTATAAACTTTATATTTCAGATGTATAATTTGTAAACTAAGTTTTATCAAAATGAATTACCTTGCCAAATTAGGCATTCGCATTATTTCTCCACATCTTGGAGCACGACCATCAATCAGCATATCACATCCATTTGTTGAAGCATTAAGGAGGTCACTTTCACCAACTTTCCACTATTT